GCTCGCCCACCGATTGCAGCCACCCTGATGCTTGCTCGGTGTCACACATGTGAAGCTTGATAAGAACACATTGAGCTGCCGAGGATACATCAGAGGTTCTAGGATATCCAACCTCTGTACTTGAACTCACTATCAACAAAATTGTCAGTATATCAGCAATCGGAATTCAGACCCTAGGGGATCAACATGAGCTCATGCTACTAGCATGATGCTAGTGCGTGAGCGAGTACACCCACCGCTGTCAGTCTGGCGCGGCTTGCCCGCCTTCGCTCGTCTGTCTCGAACGCTCAGATAGCTCTGGTGCACTCCAGATAGGTTTCATATTTGGGTGTATCGTCGATGCTCTCGTGATGTTGGGGCGCAACGTATCCTTCAACGCAACTCGGGCAGATAAACACTTATACACTCGTTATCAAGGCATCCTGCAGTGGCCAGGATTGTATTAAGATGCACTCCGGGACATTACAAAGCTTCATTAACCTAAATCGGCTACACAATCGGACTGAGAGTAGTCTCGGAATCGGTCGTCTCCACAGTAGTAGCAGCGACCTCATCGGTCACAGCAGCTGTGCTGACCGATAGAGGGGACGTGATAGTAGTAGGCTCAACAGGAGCATCGATCGTAGTCGTGACAGTCGCAGCCTCCGTAGCGACCTGGGTGGTAGCATCAGAATCATCCTTGTCTCTACCGGGAGCTTCCCAAGCTGCCGTGGTGATGGTCACTTCGCCAGTCACAGAAGCTGCAGTAGTGACATCAACCTCATCGGTCACAGCAGCTGTGCTGACCGGCAGAGGGGACGTTTTAGTAGTAGGCTCAACAGGAGCACCGATCGTAGTCGTGACAGTCGCAGCCTCCGTAGCGACCTGGGTGGTAGCATCAGAATCATCCTTGTCTCTACCGGGAGCTTCCCCAGCTGCGGTGGAAATGGTTACCTCGCCAGTCACAGAAGCTGCAGTAGTGACAGCAACCTCATCGGTCACAGCGGATGTACTGACCGGTAGAGGGGACGTGATAGTAGTAGGCTCAACAGGAGCATCGATCGTAGTCGTGACAGTCCCAGCCTCCGTAGCGACCTGGGTGGTAGCATCAGAATCCTCCTTGTCTCTACCGGGAGCTTCCCCAGCTGCCGTGCTGATGGCCACCTCGCCAGTCACAGGAGCTGCAGTAGTGACAGCAACCACATCGGTCACAGCAGCTGTGCTGACCGATAGAGGGGACGTGATAGTAGTAGGCTCAACAGGAGCATCGATCGTAGTCGAGGCGATGACAGTTGCCGTTTCAGTAGCGACCTGGGTGGTAGCATCAGAATCATCTTTGTCTCTGCTGGGAGCTTCCCCAGCTGCCGTGGTAATGGCCACCTCGCCAGTCACAGGAGCTGCAGTGGTAGCACCAACCTCATCGGTCACAGCAGCTGTGCTGACCGGCAGAGGGGACGTTATAGTAGTAGGCTCAACAGGAGCACCGATCGTAGTCGTGACAGTCGCAGCCTCCGTAGCGACCTGGGTGGTAGCATCAGAATCATCCTTGTCTCTACCGGGAGCTTCCCCAGCTGCCGTGCTGATGATCACTTCGCCAGTCACAGGAGTGCAGAAGTGACAGCCACCTCATCGGTCATAGCAGCTGTACTGGCCGC